CGGGGCATCCGCAGGCTCGACGACCCAGCCCCCGCCCGGCGGCCTGCCGGCGGCGGGCAGCCCGGCCGGGGCGGCCCCGACAGCGGCGGCCGGCGCCCCAAGCCCAGCCCAGGGCCACGCCTCGAGGACGGTCGCCGGCACGGCCTCCACCTTCCAAGGTCGCCGAGTGCGAAGCCGAGCACGAGCGACGCCACGGTCGTCCCCCAGGCCGCGGCGGCCGTCGGGGCCGCGGGCGCCGCGGGGGGGGCGAGCCGGCTCCTGCTGCGACCACTGAGGAGTCGGCGCCCCGGGGCGGGCCGGGCAGGGCGGCCCTGCGGGGCAGCCGCAACGGCAGCCCGGGCGCGCCAACGGCGGCCACGGCGGCGGCGGGGGCGCCCGACTCAACCAGGAGGCCACGCCATGCGAGAGCAGGGTGAGGGCTCCGACCGCCCACGGGTGCACCATGCCCCGTGGGGAAAAGCTTGAGCGAAAACGTCAACGGAAGATCGCAGACGGGCGGCCCGCAACGCTTCTCAAGGAGCAACCCTGTTCGGAGAACGACTTAGGAGGAGGAGGAGGACGGAGGAGGAGGAGGAGAAAGACGACGGCAAAAAGAAGCGGTGGGGAGTGGCGGGGGAGGAGGAGGAGGAGGAGGAGGAGGAGGACGAGGAGGAGGAGGAGGAGGAGGAGAAGGAGGGAGGAGGAGGAGGGAGGCAAGGAGGCAAGGAGGGGGAGGCAAGGAGGGGGAGGCGGCGCGTCGAGGGGCAAGGCGTGGGAGGGGGCAGGCCTTCCCGGGCCTCCGCTGCCGTCTTCGGGAGTCCGGCTCGCGAGCTGCCCCAGAAGGCTGGAGGCCTTCTGGGCCTTCGGAGGGGGCCCGTCCCCCCGCGTGTCCCCCCCCCCCGGCGCGACGCCGGGAGGAGCAGGCGACGGAGGGGCGGCAGGGGGCATGAGGAGCAGCGGTGGCCCCATGGCGTCCACGGCGGCGCGCGCCCGAGCGGGCCCGGGCCCGAGCCCGAGCGCGACGGGCCCGAGCCCGAGCGCGCGAGCCCGAGCCAAGGCCCGAGCCCGATGCTGAGCGCGTGCGCATGCGCGCGTGCGTGCGCGTGCGTGTGCGTGGTGACACTGACTATGGCGCGCTGTCAAGGCGCTCTCAGCGAGCGGCGCCTGTCTCAAGCTGCTCTCGGGCATCTCGACGGAGCACCGGGAAGCCCCGGGGCCGGGCGAGGTCCCTGCACGGTCCTGGGAGCCCCCAGGCCACCCCTGGCGAGGCCGGGTCAGGGTCAGAGACTGCTCTGCTCCTGGGCGCGGTCTTGGAGCCCACCAGCGCGCTCCTAGATCGCATCAAGGGGGTTCCAAGAAAACCCAAGAGCGGCCCAGGAGAGGAGTTCCATGGGTGCGGAGCAGAACGGAGCGCGCACCGCCGGTCCGGCGGACCGACCCTACGAGGGCAGCGCGGGCCGCGGGCGGGTTCTGTTGATGGCAGGGTTCGAGATGCTCGCAAGACGGCCCCAAGATGGCCCTGAGGTGGCCCAAGATGACCCAAGACAGCTCCCAAGAGGCCTCCAGTGGGACAAAATCATTCAAAAGCGAACGTCTTTCGATGACTGTGTTTCTCGACTGTTTCACTTCCTCTGGGATCCTATAGCCCGAAGGGGACAGTTATGCAATATGAGCTAGCGGAAGGAGCGAAGCGATCCGCCGCCCCACCAGGTACGGCATGTGAGATCCCCGCCGCATGGTCTACTGTTTCCCCTCAGTCGTCTTACCCACGCATTCCTCGTGCCCATAATTTTGCAAAGAGCCCTCGCAACTCCGCCTAGGGTTCTCCCCGCAGCCTGCTCATTCTGCTGGCCCTGGGCCTGGCTGCACGACGGGCGTCCGCTGGCCGCCATTTTGCCCTCAACTGAAGCGCGCCTTGGCACGGGAGACTTCTGGACGCCGCAGGGCGCCGTTGAGGACCTCTCCGAACGCCCTCCTGGGCACTCTCTGAAGCGTCTTGGGGCCCTCATGGGGCCCTCTTGGCTTTGGGCTCGTTTGGCTCGTGCCCCGGGCCCCCTGGAGCAGTCTCGGACCATTCCGAAGCCCTTTTCGAATCATGTTGAGCCGCAAACCCGAGGATGCCAAAAACCTTCAAAAAACTCTAGCCGTTTGATGATTTCGCCTTTTCGGAATTCTCTTTGCGCCTCTTGGAGCTCTCGTGGACCCTCGGGCGGCAATCTCGGGGCCTCTCCGGCCATGTTGGAACATCTCCAAGGCCTCGCGGTCCTGTCTTGTGCCGTCGTGCCCTCTTGAGCCGTCTTGGGCGCGCCCAGGGAGCCCTGGATGGCCTTCTGAGGCCCCAAAACTGACTCCCGTAGTCTCCGTGTCCCTCTTCGGTTTCGTCCGCCATTTTCGACACATCGGGTTGCCCTTTGGGGTCGTTTTCGGAGCCTCTCGGGGCCCTCTTGGGAAATTTTTGGCGTTTTGGGGGGCCCCCTGGGGCCGTCTTGGACCACCCTCTCGCCTTCTGGAACCATTGCAAGTGTCCTCTTCCTCCACTAAGCCTTCTGACGTCTGCTCGTGTCCGCAAGCGTGGGGCGTCTGCCAGCTCAGGGGCGTTCAACTGAATGATTGTTTGTCAGCCCGACGGCTGTTGGGGCTTTTTCTGGCACCTCTGCAGCAGTCCTGGCGGCTTGTCGGGGCCCTCCTCGGCTTTCAGGAGCAGGCTCTTGGTAACTACTCGCGCCAACTTGGGCCGCCTTCGCCTGTGTGACCAAGTGCTGCTCAGGTGGTCAACTTTTTTATTATATAGCGAACCTCGCCCAGTCCGGTCGCGGGATTCGGGTCCTTCCACATCTGCATCAAGGCGACCACGCTCCAAAAACAGTGGGGCGTCGGTGTCTGCCCCCTCGGGGGCGTTCACTTGTTGTACTTGTGTGTCAGCTTGCGGGCTCAAGTTGTGGATTTCGAGCAACGTGCTCTCGAGCCGTAGGAAGCCGAACATGGGAGGCGGTATATTGCTGGATGGGCAGGTCCCTGTAAGAGACACACACCACTGCTGTTAGATTGTACCACCAACGCCAGTAAACCACTCTAGCAGCGCGATGCTGGGAGGGTCCTGAGAAGCTCTCGAGAGGGTCCTGAGAAGGTCCCGAGAGGATTCTGACAGAGTCCTGAAAGACTCCCGAGAGGCTCTCGGGAGAGTCCACAGAGGGTCCAGGAGAGTCCTGAGAGGGTCGTGATCAGCCTGTGAGAGGCTCATGAGAGGCTATTGAAACAATTAGGCTTGCCTCAGGAGCTCTTACTTGCTCGTGCAAGAAGCAGGTGGATGTGAAGCCAATTCAGAGGCGGCGCTCGGCCTTCCGCAGGTTCCTCGGTTTTGGACTCCTCGGGCCTTCCTGGAGCCTTCCTCGGGTTCCTCGGTCATGGGTTCCTCGGGCCTTCCTAGGGCTCTCCTCCAGTCCCTCGGTCTGGATTATTCAAGCCTTCCTCGAGTTCCTCGGTCCTGGGTCGCGATGCCAAGCAATCCCAAGCGATACCAGCAATACCGAGCAATGCTAATCAACACAAGGTAAAGTAAAGCGATGCAAAGCAATGTCAAGTACGGCGCCCATACAGTAGGAAGCTTCTCACAAATGAGGGTCGCGCTGGATTCATTAACTTTCTGATTGGTGAACTCGGTGTAAAGTTCTTGGAAAAAACAACAATGATCGCAACAACAACCATAACGACGACGACGACAACGACGACGATAACAACGACCACGACAACGACAACAACGATGACGACAACAACAACAATGTTTGAATATTGAATGACCTTAGGCTGATGTTGGCAAGGTCGCCCAAGAGGCATTCTACTCAAAAACGACCCCTCGCGACCTCCATTAGGGGCAAGCTCCCAAAGTAGGCAACTAGGCATGCTTGACAGTGCGTGGCATTCCTTGGGATTGCATTGCGTTGCTTCGCGTTCCTTGGCGTTGTTGTGCACTGCGTTTGCCTGGCATTGCCTCGCATTGCCTGTCATTGCTAGGCGTTGCTCAGAATGAATTGTCATTGCTTTGCATTACTTCCATTGCTTGGCGTTGCTGGACTTTACTTGGCATTGATTGGCATTGCTTTCTATTGCTTGACAGCGCTTGGCATCGATTGGCTTTGCTTAAATTTGCTTGGCATTATGGCTTTGCTGCGAATTGCTTTACATTGGTTGGTATTGCTTGACATGGTTTGACATTGCATGTCATTCTGGAACCAGACAAACCGGGCAACCCCAGAGATCGCCACGCAATCGGGCAACAAATCAAATCGGACGGCGTGGCGCTGCTGGGCATTGCTGGGCTTTGCTTGGCATTGTGGCTTTGCTTTGCATTGCTTGGCACTGCTTGAGGTTGCTTGGCATTCCTTGGCAATGCTTGCCATTGCTTGGCATTGCTTGCCACTGCTTGGCATTGCGTGGCATTCGAGAACCAGGCAACCCTGGGCAACCCTAAGAAACGCCGGGCAACTGGGCAATGGGCAACCTGGGGAACCCCTGAAATTGCCCCGCAGCACCCACGGGTTTTTTTTCACACACAAGTAGAACCCCGTGGGCAAAACCTAACTGGGGAACGGCACAGCAAAAAATCATCTGGCAGCCTGCGCGGTCCGCGACGGCAGCTGCAGGGACTCCCCTGCAGTAGATTATGGGTTCAGATTTCCCTGAAAGCCTAAAGCGAGACGCTATGAGAAAAGAAAGAGCACGACTAACCTCTTGAGGCGCCCATCGATCATCGCAAATGAGCTGTTGATACCGTCCAATAACCTTAAGCAGCTGAGGCACTTGCTTGCCAACTCGACGGGGACGAGAAGGAGGAGGCGGAGGTGGAGGAAGGGGGAGCAGATGCAAAGGAGGAGGCGCAGGAAGGCGAGAGAAAGGTGAGAAGGAGGAGGAGAAAGGGGAGTGAGGAAAAGTAGAAGGAGGAGCGATGGGGAGGAGAAAAAGACCAACCTGACGCTGCTGGGCGCTCCCTCCCGCCACCGCCCGGCTGAGGGGCAGAAGGCGGCCTCACCAGACCTGCTGGCCATCCCGCAGGTTCCCCCACATGTGTGCCCGGTGCTGGGGCTCGCTCGCGACCCTGTGGTTGATGTCCTCGGCTGGGCCCTCCTCCCCCCCCCCGCGTGCGGGCTGGCCCCACCCTCCCTCCTGTTCCCCCGCCCTCCCTCCCCCCCTCTCCCACACTCAAACCGTCCTTCTTCCTGTAGCATTGAAATCCAAGCCGAAAACTGAAAATTAACAGCGATCTATATAATATATCCGCTGGCCCCCTTGCGGGGCCACCAGGCTGTAGGCCGAAGTGTGCTGCTCCCTGTACAGGTTGCAATTTCCAGTCTCCAACGTTACATTCCTTCTTTCTGTTCCCTACTGTAAGTTCTTGAAGTCCACGAAAGGGGGGGGAGCCCAAAAGGATCCAATCTACCACGATCCCGGATCGCGTTGCTTGAATTCCAAGGGGGGCGTAGGACATGTAAAAATCCATGAGATTCGCGCCCCCGGGGCAGAATCCCTCGTGAATTACGCAATGTTTGTGCCTCTGGGGCCACAAACCTTTATCCATTATACAAGTATTGCGTCCCCGAAGCAACAAAGCCTCGCAAGTTACGCGACATTCGCGGCACCGAAGCCATAAACCTTTCTGCAAATCCACTGTATTCGCATTGCCGAGGCCAGGAGTGCTCGAAGGCGCCCGAAGATGGTTTCAACAAGGCCCAAGAGGGCCCAAAGAGGCCCCAAGAGCGTTCCAAGAGGCTTCCTGTGAGGGCCCCAACGGGCCAAAATCGTAGATTCTACGACGCCTCCAAGAAGGCCCTCAGACGGCCCAGTAGGGCTCCAAGATGGCCCAAGAAGAGTGTAAGACTGCCCATGAGGGCCCCAAAACGGCTCCAAGAGGGGCCCAAGCAGGGGACCACGAACCGAGCATTCAATACTTGTGCCCCGAGAAGCCCCCAGAAGGCCCCACGAGGCTGCCAAGATGCCCCAAGAGGCCGAAGAGGCGCCCAAGACGCGCCCAAGAGGCCTCCGAGAGGCCCAAAAGATATTCCACGAGGCCCCAAAAGGCCCCCAAAAGGCGCCCAAACCACCCCCAAGAGGCCCCCGAGAGGCTCCCCACGACACCCCAACACATATACAAGTGGCCTCAGACCCACGACCCAGGCACGGTGGAAGGATGGGGCCGAAGGCCACGATCCGCCGCCTTCTGTGTTCTTGCCACAGGGGCGCCCGGCGTGCTAGATCCTACCGGTTTGGGTTTTGGCTCTTGCCCCGAAAAAACTCTCCCCTGAACTTTCGGCCCGTCCCGCCGACCACCCGGAAGGCCCACAATTCCCGGAAAAGTGTTCCCGAGGTGGCTCAAGATGCATTTCAAAACCGTTCTTGGGGGCCTCTGGGCCGTCTTGGGCCATCTTTTAGAGCCATGTTAGACCGTCATGATGACCTCCTGGCCCGTGGACGCCGTCGGGAGCCGTCTTGAAGGCTTTTCTTGGCCGACTTGGGGCCCTTTTGGGGTGCTCCAGGGTTGTCTTGGAACCATTTCGGGCGTCTTGGAAGCCTCGTGGGCCCTCTTGGGGCCCTCTAGGGACCGTTTTGGGGGACTCTTGGGCCGTTCTTGGGCCATCTTGTAAGCCGTTTGGGCGATCTTGGGGCGACCTTTGGGGTTCTGGGGCCGTTTCGGGCCGTCGGAGGATCGAAGAGCAGCTAATGCCAACATCCTTCCAAAACCTAAGGAACATCACTGATTTGGGCCTGTCTGGGCCTTCCTGGAAAACCTCTTGGAGACCTCTTGGGCCGTCTTGCTTGGAGGCCTCCTGAAGTCCTCTTGGGCCGTCTTGGGCCATCTTGAGGCTATCTTAGGCCGTCTTGGATGAACGGGCGCGGTGGCGGGAACAAGGAGAAATTCGCAGCAATTGATGAAAAACGAACGGAGGCAGAAGCATGCGGGGGAGGGTGAGCGGGGAAAGTGTTCCGCGTCGGTAACACGACCGCGCGCTACACCCGCGGGGCAGAACACCGCCATGCGCGCCACGACAGAACAGCGCGTTCAACAGAACAGCGCGTTGCGCGAAGCGAGGCAAATGCACCGGGTGCCTGACGTGCAAAAGGCAGCTGCGGAGGGAATACCACGCGGACATAAAGACAGCGCCCTGCGCTGCGTGGCCCCGCGGCCCCCTGCGAGCTGCGACATGACAGCGCCGAGCGCTACGTGACAGCGCCGAGCGCTATGGGATCCCCTGACAGTTTAGATGCAATTGGTCGTCGTCCGTCGCAGGCGTCGCCGCCCGAACCACTGGGGCATCAACGAGTAAACTACCGCAGACGCGCCTGGCATCTCTGGCAGGTGTCCCCGTCAGTCGTGCAGGAACTTGTCCAGGCCCAGCTCTCGCGCCAACTTCTCCGCCGCTTTCCTGCAATGCTCAGCGCCAGCACTGAACGCCCGGAGGCGCTTGGCCAGATCTGCCGGCGGCCCTCGGCACAAAAAGTCGAGGCCTGGATCGCGCAACATGAGGAGGTTGTCGGACGTCGTCGCGCGGGAGAGCATGACGTATAGGTGGAGCCATTGACCGCCCATGTCGCCAGCAACCGTGTACCCGCATCGACAATGACGCCCCGGTGCATGGTCCGGCCTTGGCACGCCGTCGACATCAGCACGTGGGCGTGGGAGATCTGAGGGCCCTTGCGCGTGACTTTGTGCCGACGTCTGCGGCTCGATGGAGACCAGCCGCACCAGGTCCGAGACGTCGATCCCTTCCGCGTGCTCTGCCAGCCGTTCGCAGAAAGGGGCGGCCTTGTACTGATCCATGCGGACCCACACGCCGAAGGGCAAGTAGCGCAGGTACGCAGGGCAGTTCTCGGCCTTCGCACGTTCCACCTCCTCCTCGTCCCGAGGGTTGATGGCCACGCGCACGATCGCGCCCTCGGCGCCCTTCACCCGCTTGCGCAGTTGCGCAGATCGCAAGCCCCGTACCGAGGTGATCCGCGTATGACGTACCTCCGCTGGGCCTCCCAGGAGCCCACGAAAATGGCGACAATTGCACAGATCGCAAGCCCCCCAGGGGGCGGCGAGGTACCGAGGTGATCCACGTATGACGTACCTCCGCTGGGCCTCCCAGGAGCCCACGAAAATGGCGACAGCTGCGCAGATCGCAAGCCCCCCAGGGGGCGGCGAGGTACCGAGGTGATCCGCGTATGACGTACCTCCGCTGGGCCTCCCAGTAGCCCACGAAAGTGGCGACAGTTGCGCAGATCGCAAGACCCCCAGGGGGCGGCGAGGTACCGAGGAGATCCGCGTATGACGTACCTCCGCTGGGCCTCCCAGGAGCCCACGAAAGGGGCAACAGCTGCGCAGATCGCAAGCCCCCCAAGGGGCGGCGAGGTACCAAGGTGATCCGCATATGACGTACCTCCGCCGGGCCTCACAGGAGCCCACGAAAACGGCGACAATTGCGCAGATCGCAAGCCCCCCAGGGGGCGGCGAGGTACCGAGGTGATCCGCGTATGACGTACCTCCGCTGGGCCTCCCAGGAGCCCACAAAAGTGGCGACAATTGCGCAGATTGCAAGCCCCCCAGGGGGCGGCGAGGTACCGATGTGATCCGCGTATCACGCACCTCCGCTGGGCCTCCCAGGAGCCCACGAAAGTGGCGACAGCTGCGCAGATCGCAAGCCCCCCAGGGGGCGGCGAGGTACCGAGGTGATCCACGTATGACGTACCTCCGCTGGGCCTCCCAGGAGTCCACGAAAGTGGCGACAATTGCGCAGATCGCAAGCCCCCCAGGGGGCGGCGAGGTACCGAGGTGATCCACGTATGACGTACCTCCGCTGGGCCTCCCAGGAGCCCACAAAAGTGGCGACAATGCACACATTGCAAGCCCCCTAGGGGGCGGCGAGGTACCGAGGTGATCCGCGTATGACGTACCTCCGCTGGGCCCCCCAGGAGCCCACGAAAGTGGCGACAGTTGCGCAGATCGCAAGCCCCCCAGGGGGCGGCGAGGTACCGTGGTGATCCACGTATGACGTACCTCCGCTGGGCCTCCCAGGAGCCAACGAAAGTGGCGACAGTTGCGCAGATCGCTGCCCCCCCCAATGATCGCAACCCCTAGGCAAGGCCACCCAACAAACAAGACGGCGAGGAAGGAATCAGGAACCAGACGGCAGGAGAGCACAGAAGGCAGGAGCGAGGAGGCGGGAGAAGGAGGGTGGAGACCACGCTGCTCTATTCAAAACGAGAACCCAACACGGGAGGGTTGGGAAGAACAAACAAAAAATGTATCACTGCATCCCAGACCGTCACAACCGAAACAAACAAAAGTACACAGCCCCTCGTGAGCCGAGGGTGAGGGCGCCTGGCCATTAAGGATTCCTGCGCGCATTTTGGGCATGTAAAGACGCCTTAGTAAGGATTCCTGAAAACCTATTTGTTCGTAAGGATTCCTTCGTACATGTTCCTTAGTAGGGGCTCCGTAGGTGGATTCCTTATTAAAGATTCCTTAGCGACTCCCTATTACCGACTTCTTACAGCGAACGCACTACCAAGATTCTTTGCTAAGGATTCCTCTGTCACTAGTCCTTAATAAAGATCCCTTGGGAGGGAGATGTCTTTAGGGCGCCTTAATTAAGATATATGTTGCAACGATTCCGCATGAGGGACTCCGAGAGAAAGATCACACATTAGGGGGTTATGGTTAAGGATTTCTTGACCAAGATTCCTTACGAAACATCCCGTATTGAGCACTCCGTTGAAGGATTCCTTACTTAGGACTCCTTCTTCAAGATTCCTCAATTGCGATGTCTTACGAAGGAATCCGTCTTCAAGGTTCCCTGCTAAGGATGCATTAATTCAGATTCCTGGCGAAGTGTGCCGTGCTACATAAACCTTAATACGGATTCCATAACACATGCCCATTATTCAGGATTCCTTATTCTGGATTCCGCCCAACGGAGTCTCTCATAAAGATTCCGCACTAAGGATTCCTTAATTCAGATTCTTGATTCGGGATTCCTTAGCCAGGATTCCGCATGAAGGTTTTTTTATTGAGGACACATTAGTAATATTCCCGTGGCAAATACGTAGCAAATATTCCTTAGTACGGATCGCTTGGTAACTGTTCGTGGGTGTGAATTCCGTGAGTTGGATTCCTTATGAACAATACCTCGACGACCTCTTATGGTATAGTCCTTACGCTGGACTCTTTACCAAGGATTCATTTTCCAAGATTCCTTTTGGAAAGGGTTTTCTAGTTCAGGGCTCCTTATTGAGGTTTCCTTGTGTAAGGTTCTTTCTTACGGGTTTCTCAGACAAGTATCAGTATTAAAAATTCCTCGGGAAGGGCTCCTTCCTAAGAGTTCCTTCGTAAAGATTCTTCAGTAAGGATTCATTGGGAAAGATTACTTGTTAAGTGTTCCTCGGTTTCGACCCCTCATGAAGGATGCCTTGTGTAAATGTTCCTTCTTCAGGACCCTTTGTTCAAGGCCCCGTACCACGGATCCCTTATTAAACATTCCTTATCAAGGATTCCTTATTAAGGATCCATCCTCCTCCTCAGCATCATTGACATCACCGTCGGGATCGCACTCATCTTATCTAGCTCATCTTGCTGATCAATCGTATCATATAATGGTTCAGTGTGCTCCCCCCGCCTATTCCTTCTCCTCGCCATCCTCCTCATGGGGGTAGAGAAGGGCTGAGACCCAGCGCGAGAGAACACATCGACGAGCAGGCATGGTATGATCAGAGGGGCGATCATATATATATGTGTGTATTACACAAATATACATATACATATACATCTACATATATATATGTGTGTGTACACACAAACATACGTATATGTAGATACACATACATACATGCATAGATGCGCACACGCATACATACAGACAGGCAAGAATGCATGCATGCATACAACTACAAGCACACCGACGTACATGTTACACATGGCTGTGCATATTTACATGTGTATACATGTATGTGCGTGTCTACGTACATG